AGGGTTGTGTAGCACTTGAGATCTTTGTACTGATGGCCTTTATATTTCCTCCCCTCTGGCAGAGTGCGTGAAGAAGGAGAAGATGGAAATGGATTAATCTGTCACCCGCAATGCTTCCTCCTCAGCACTTCAGGCTCCATCTGTATAAAGTCTTTACATGTGTGCACTGCGAACATCAACTCTGAGAAGTCGGATCGCCGGATCAGCTTGCGTGTTTTTTTGATAAACTGTTTTTAAAGATTGAATTTTATTCACAGCAACACATTTTATCCACTTTGTACTCATGGAACATATGTAGGTTTTATATGTTGTAATATTTCAAATAAAAATCCCGTCTTGTACCCCGGTCTTCTGCCGCTGACTTGTAATACATCGCGCTGTGTAGAATGGAAGGTAATGGAGGGCGTTGCTTTGTGGTGATTGGAGCTGAATACATTAACCCCTTGAAGCCCCTTCCAGTCCCGGCCACTTCTCAGTATTCAGCTCTGAGGTACTTTGACATTTCTTTAGTCATGTGACGCCGTACTGAGATTATTATTATATATCTGTCCATAGGTGAAGCTTTAAAAGCCCTACAGGTCATTGGTTCACAGACATCTGAATATTGGCATAATGATCTCGCTCCGGCGCACGCGGCGATACCCAACATGCAGCATGGTTGTCGTTTTTGTACATGGGTCATTTTGACCCCTTAGTGTCCTCTTCACACTCCAAATATGCTCTTGGTGTGCAGATCGTACTCCCAATAGCTTATTGCTGACTTCTGCAGCTGAGCAATGACGGCTCGGGGACCGGAAATGATGCAATCAGCGTCCACACCAAGGGAAAAACCCCGGTGATCTAGCGGCAACAAATCCCTCCGGTACCGACAAAGGAAACTGCTATTACTTGATGTGGCTGCGTCCACCGAAGCTTGTAACTGTGCTTGTTGGGCGTCCATAGCTGCGTGCTCCTACTCCTGGCATCCAAAGACTGATCTGTGTAGACTGGCCGGCCAGAAGTACTGCCCAAGGCCC